TTTATGTGAAGTAAATTATAAAATTAAAAAGAATTATGGCAAATTGTAAACCTTTTAATTTTTAACTTTTACCTGTTTACTCACTATAAAGCTTTAGATAGACATACTGTCACTTAAGAGCGACAATTTTTTCACCTTTTACTTTTGTTTCATTGCTCGCAAAGGATCTCCTCTGATCCAGATTTTTAAAAATATTACCTGCTGAAGAAATGTTATTGAGTGCCGTGATATTATGACAAGAGTTTTACGGTTCACGTATTTACCTATCTAAAATTAGAGAAAACTAGAATGCCTAAAAATTGCTCGAAATAGTGTAGTCTCGAATTTATTGGACCTGCTCACCGAGGGAAGTGTTGAATGCAAGCTTCTGTTTTACACCCTCTTGCATCGTCTAAAGCAGAATTCAACATTCAAACCAGAAAAGGTGAAATATCACCTTTCAGATTTTTTTCACAGACATTACATGTATATACAACGGTAATCAAGGAACCTTCATTGTGATATTTTAGTGCAGTCCATGAAACGCGACCTTATTGTCCCTAAGTTAAAAACATTGTGCAAGCCTTGGACATTACAGTAATGGGCGAAAGTAAGTAAAGGGGATCAGTGGTTATGAATATGTTTTCAACCTGCAATAAACTGTAGAAAAGTAATATATCTTGACTTGAGTTTTATGGTCTTCGTTATATTTAAAAATGGATTTAACTCAATACAGGATTGGAGCAGTACCTCTAGACGCTTGCAGAAATCATGATCACAAATCAGACAAATATCGTTTTTTTTTTCGCCGATTTTTACATTTTTCATTCATTATCATACATAAATCGGCGTGAAAAGATGAATTAGACCTATTTCAGTTCATTCCGTAGGGTAAAAAGGCAATATTTTAGCATTTTATGATTCAAGCGCCTTGCCCGGTATGTACCGGAATACGGTATTTAGTGTGGTGCTCCAATCCTTTTTTTAGTCTCACTCTTTAAAAATAATAAAGTGATCCTTAAATTCCGATTCTTTTACAACGCTTTTTAAAAATTGAAGTTTCGGCACAGGTTTATTATCAGAAATATGTATTTCTGCAAAGGTTATTGTCAGCACTAACAACAATAAATACAATGTGACTATTAATCAGTGGTCTTTAACATTCACTTTAATCAAAATATTAAATGCAAACTGGATTTCTTTGCGATGAAAATCATTCTTGTCTTAATTACAAAAGTAAGAGTTTCGCTTGTGCGTACGATATTCGTTTCGTCTTATTCTGAGATACTCTTACGATGTGCGATTACAATGCTAAATGACTTTAATAGATGGATCAATCTTATAACTGTTAGGGAAAGATAACCAAAATATGAACTAACTAAATTGCAATAGTGCCGACCATGATCAGACGGCACGGGAAGGTTAGGAAGCCTATAAGCAGCTTGCTGATAGCTTTTGATACACTTTATAATAAAGAAACACTGCACTAAATGTCTTTCAATATGTTATAACTTTAATATTGAAGCAAAGTTGCCTAAAGATTAATTTCGTTATGTATTAACAAGAAATGATGAATTAATGTACATTGCATGGCAGATCAGTAGGTTCACAATTGACTTTTATTTAGTCATAGACGCTAAATCTTATGGATTTTTATCGCTTTAAACAAATACATGTATTAATATTTGATATAGGTATGTTAATCAATTGAATCTACTTCATCACAAAGAACTCTTAAAGATAAAAACAAACTGAAGACACTTAAAAGAATATTGTTAAAACAAAAAAAAAAAAGAATCATCGACTTTGAAAATAATATAGATGTATAAAGCAATAATTCAATGTTTAATTATGTATTTGCAAGTGACAAAACAATTTTGTAAAATTACTATACATCCTGTATCATTTATCGTCACAAGATACCAATTAATATTGTGTTTTAAGAAAATCCTAATTTATACTCGGAGAACAGTATTTACATAACGACTACATCCAACAATGTTTGATAATACTGTTGGCGTCGACCTCATAGACTTTGACGTCAATACTCGCTGCAAGTAAGATGCATAAGAACCTGTTATATAGATACTGCGTAATACGGTTAGCACATTAAATTGCTCACTCGGTCTTTTGACCATTGGTAGCTACTTATCAATTTTTAAACATGACTATATTGAAAATCAATTTCAACATGGTATAAATGTATCATCTTTTTTTATAAATGTTCATGTGCAAAAAAAAAAAAACAGATGAAAAAGTTGGTTAAGATAATTGGCCAATAAGAATCGTTTTGGATACTTTAAAAGTACACCAAAATTAAAAAAGATGTTGACAAATAACATGGAAGCATTTCCGGGGCATAATTCGTGAATAACATAATAAATCATGGATCCAATTTACGAAATCGAACTACTAAAGTAAAAATAAAAATAGATGACATTTAAATATTTATTTCTTTAGCACTTTAGCAAATGAATTATAAACTAGTTAACTTGGTGCTTTACCGATGCTTCTTTGTGGTCAAGTACATTTCGTGACTCTGTTCAAGTAAAGGCGCTCTCTGTTTGTTGATCTGTCGTTTCATTCTTTATGCCATTACATAATATGATTTGATAAAGGTCAAAACTCATTACTAGACTATGTCATACATACAACAGACACATATTTTATAAACCTAGCCAATTATAGGTACGTGTACCTTTATGCTTTATAAGTTCTTTAAACGCGATTAAAATCATGCGACTTACGTAAATTGTGCACAAAAAAAAGGTAAAGTTTTTTTTTATTATTTCAAGTTTGATGTGTAGTTGTAATTAGTTAGCACACATTTTAAGAAGCTTCTAATGTAGCTGCATAATGCAACACTAATTTACCACTTTCTACCTCCAGTTAAGTGCTACATTACCGCTACACATGCTGTGGGTCCATTGCCTTGAAACTTGTAAATGCAAACCTGTTAAAATAATACGAAGATATAATATTAATTTTGGCAATAAGACTAATTGCTTACTTAACATATTTGTTGTTAACTAGGCTAAACATAAAATGTTTGTAATAATAATTAAATTTATAAAACTCCGTTTCGTGGATATCTCTCTACCATGATTATATTTGTACTTACAATTTTAAAAATGTCAACTTAAATCAAGAAAATTTCAGTAGTGCGACTGTGAAAAATAACAATTCAAGAAACGTAAACCTTTTTTGCTGTGCGTTACGTCGCAACAACGCAGTAGAAGTCTTTCAGCAACTTACCAGCTTTAATTACTGGTGAAAGAAGACCTATGTTGCCCCTCAAAAACGGGTACCTGAGTAGAACTACCGACGTTCCGTAAGCAAGCTGGATAGCTTTAAATAAAATAATCCGAAGACAATGTTGAAATTTCAATCAAATGCCGCTGAACATCAACATTGCTTAAAGTAAAAACGTGTACATTCATTAAGTAAACATGCTACAACCAACAAGAAAATAAGTGTTATAATTATTTTACACGGAACATCATTTGATAAGGCAACCTATAGACATATCAATGTCTCATGTGATAACCTATGACACAATTGTCATAGCTCTTACTTCACTTTTTTAACTGGAAAATAACAAAACATTTCAATGTATCACACTATATACTATATTGAAAGGGAATAGTACTCCAAAACTACAGTTAACCTTAAACGAAACGAAAGGGAAGGTTAACAATTAGCTATTCTAAAAAATATTTCGATTGCAAAGTTGTAATTTAAGAAAAAGCCTTACGACTAACTTGGGTCATAAGACAAAATAATCTACTTAATACATTTCTTAACTGTGCACAGTCATGAGACATATAACTAATAATCTATTTAATTAGAACTGTACGGTTGACCAGAAACATCCATATAATGGTTGCTATCTTTTCAACAATGTTTGGCTTACTTATAATATATTTTCATAACTAAATACATGTATAACTCATCATCTATTAAATTAGAACTGTGCGGTTGACTTGAAACATCCATATAAACACTATTAAGCTTATAATAAATAACATCTTATTTATAACATCAAACTATAAACATAGATATATACAAACTAACACAGACTGGTTGACCAAAGCAACCATATAAACACTAACAGGCATATAATAAATAGCACGTTCAATATTTCAAGACAATTTTTCACTAATTCGTAATATTAATAATCGAATTTCTTATAGACATTGCGTTTTTACAGTATAACCCTAATTTTTAAAGATCAGTCTTATTTTCTGTTTGTAACAATTCTAAAAACTTATATACACTTGGTTTGATATAATAATATTTTGCTATAAATTTTTTACGTAAATCTGAATAGATAGGGCATATAATAACAAAGTGGTATTCATCTTCTAAATCTAGTGAATGGCAACATTGGCAATATCTTTCGTTTCTAGGTATTCTATTTCTGGCAAACCTTCCAGTTTGAATTCTTAGAGCATGCGCTGAAATTCTTAATCTAGTGATGTAACATCTTAATGAACTAGGTAAAATATCTAAATATGCTTCGTATCCAAAAACAATTTTAAAGTTTTTATACAAATCTAACACTTCGCTCCTTTCCTTATTTACATTCTATCCTTGTAAAAAACAATCTATTGATATTCATTAATTTGCTTAAATAGCCAAAGGGTGGTAACAAATTTTAGAAAACAAATAAGCAACAACTGGTATGCAATCACATTTACTTTTATACAAAATTTCTGAAAGAACATGTAGTCATTAACATGAAACAATATATAATACCAAGTTCAAATCAGCTCTGTTGGATATTTCTTCTCAGATCTTAAATATTTTCAATCACAAAAATATGACTTGGAGTAAAAAATTAATGAAGTTTTAATAAATTATATTGAAATTAATTACAAAGAAATTAAAATATGTTAATTAAGTTAGACTTTTTTTATTTATATGAATAAAAGGTAATATAATTGAAATAGAATAAATATGAAATCAAAAACTAACTCGAATTTATGCTTAGTGTTATTAATTTCATGAATTGAAAATTTTTCATTTTAAAGCTCATTGATGATCATATCACAAAAAATGTAAATTATATCAAAATTATTAAAAAAGATAATTTAATTCTAATACAAAAAACAATGTCTGTTATATTAAACAGTCACAGAAAGCCACATTAACTTCAAGCACTCCTCTTAAAAGTTTTTACAGAAAGCCACATTAACTTCACGTCACTCCTCTTAATAGTTTTTACTCATCACTTCACATTATTTCAACCTGAAATGTTTATTCTTCACACTGAGGACCATATGCCGAGGCACAGCCTTCAAGAAATTCACTGGTCTGAATATTCCCTGCAGAATAGTTCTTCCAAAGCTCCCTTATCTTTTCCTCAATCTTGCGTGCTGCTGGACGAACACGACGCGTAGAAATACCATCTCTAAGGTGACGCAACTCATATGACACTTCTTCAGCCTCACACTGTAAGACAGGTACCAGTCTGTAAAATGACAAGCTCAAGCCCCCAGCCTTTCGGTTCAATTTGTTGTGCCACCCTGAAAATATTATACCATGGAAACATTAAGTAAATGTTTACATTATACAGTATTCCACACTATTTATATGCAAGTCGACAATGTTCGATCATAAAAATAATTCTTATCAGAAAATTTTGTTTTTTAAATTAATGCTAGTTATTTTTAAACTCATGTGTGTCAAGTGCATTTATTTATTTATGTAGAAGTTCATTGTAAAAATATTTTCACAAAAGAATTACCTTCACAATCGTTGTTGGTGCGGATGGTAAGACCATACACAGACCATGACTCAATGGTGAAGATTGGGTGGTTCATCCACTGATGTTCCATATAGGAGATGAGGTCATGTAGAGGTAAACTGTTTGCTCTTGATGACAATACTTGGAATGCTGGCTCAATATGTGTGTATGGGAGAAATGGAAGTCACAGAAGCTGACAAATGTAGTTGTAGATGGTAGCCCGGCGAGAGTATGCTGGCTTCAGTCCCACTTCTTGGACCTTGCGCCACACAGCCTGTGTAAAATGGAAGACACAACCTTTCACTGTGGCACCAGGAATACCACCAAAAAGTCTGGACACTTAAGGAAGTCCATATCAACCACAAAGTCTAGGTCTTTAGGTTCAGCTGGGCGAAATTTCAATCTCAATGGTACTTTTGAAAGGTTGTTCTCTAGCTTCCTTACGGACTTTGACAGAAACGCTAACCCTGTCTTTAAGAGAAGGCTCAGGCCCATGCTGGTGAGAGTTATTACCCCTTACAAAATCACTTCCCTTCTGCACCACACTGGCATAGCACTTGCACGTAACACTCCGGCTTGAACAAAACCACAGAACTGAGTTCTTTCCTCTTTTCTTTGCATAGTACCTATACCCATCAGATGCCACTAGTAAAGGCTTACCTCTTTTGCTGCCTTCTTCAAACACTGTAAATTCAACCTGAGGCTCTTCAATCAATGTTTGTGACAGAGGTTCCTCAACAATTGCTGTTACACTTGTGTCAGCTTGATCAATAATCTGCTGGTCGCTTACATTGAAAGGTAAAGTCATTCTGGAATTTTGTGTCTCTTCCATCCTATCAAGTGTAGAATCATTGGAAAATAAATATTGTTTGTATTTAATGCCAATTAAATATTCTGTTCTGTTCTGTTCTTAATAAGCAAAATTTCATCAATAAACAAATTTTGTTTGTTGCAACATTTTAAGTGTTAATTTAAGGCACATTCACTTATTATTTAGACAGATCAAATAAATTTAACATCAAAGCAATTTTTCAGGTATGAAAAACAATCAATCAATTAATATGTTTTTGAATATTTACTTTTAATCTTTAAGATGAAAGAAGAAGAAAAAATAAAACACAATAATTAATATCTAATTATTATCCCTATCAAATTAATGAAGAAGAAAAAATAAAACACAATAATTAATATCTAATTATTATCCCTATCAAATTAATTATTCAATAATTATTTTTAATGACTAAACACATTGAAATATACCCATTTTTAACATCTAAATACTTCAATAAAATATTTTTTCTTTAATTTGTATCAATTAATGATAAACTTACCATTTTATTTAACATCTAAATACTTCAAATATAATATACAAATAAAAATGGGGGGAGGGAACTGTCTGCATATTTGCAATTATGCAGACGGTTCTCCCCCAAAATAGGGAGAGAATCGTCAGGGAGGAAACGTCAGGGAAGGAAACGGTAAGGGAGAGAATAGTCTGACTACCCGTTTAAATCCATATAAGCTCTTAGAATGGAATCACAGACGTTACTGTTTTTTATAATAGCATGTTTTTTTATTTTGTATTTATTTATTTATTATTTATAATTTGGTTGGTCTTTTTGTCGAACCAACACAGTATATGTCATATGGCGACTTTCCAGCTTTACTGCTTGAAGAAGACCTCAGTTGCCCCTTCCTTACGTTATTTCCGGCACGAACTACCAACGTTCCGTATTCTAGCTCCATAGCTTCCTCACATGAAAGAATCCAAAGTCCCTTGTGGAATTTGAACCCACAGCGGTGAGGGGCAAGTGGTTTCAAGACCTTAACCATAATGCCACGGCTACCTCTGTAGCATGGTTTAGGAAATGAGTAAAATAAAAGCAATGATTTCAGACATAATTCCAGGTGTTATCAACTTTAACATTATAGAAACACAACTTCACCGATTCTCGTGAAAACGTTAATTGGTACTAAAAATCAGGTAATGTGATTAATTTCTTTACTAGTCTATTGTGAACAACTAAAAATCAGTTTTATATTAAACGATACAAAAAGAATGAACAAACATTGGTTTTACATAATATAACTAAGATTGTCATAATGATTCGAGCTATATAAAATATCGAGTGTAAATGTGAAGAAAAAATTCAAATTAATTTTCATATTTTGGATAAAACAAATTATATTCGTCTTCTCGGCAAACCGATAATGAATTCGATTAATGGAATATAAAAAGTATGACGTATAAAAACAAAACGTTTCTCTTGAGATAACATTTGACAGAACTGCCATTCATCCTACTGCAATTTGTGGATTTAATAGTGTTCGGAAATAACTATTAGGTCTATGTCAAAAGTCAGTTATAATTACGTTATGTATGTGGCAAAACGTCTACACAGTTACAAAAACGGCGTACATCATACTGTCATTTGATATTTGTCATGATAATAGAGCTTTTCCATTAACTTTCATATCAATTTCAATATAATTGTGCATTTATCGTCTAGATAAAATAGTTGATAATTAACAGTTATGCAATTAAAACTAAGAAATAAAAAAATGAAAATCAGGGGACGTAATTGATTATAGCTTTCATAGCATGAAAAATCTACAAAACTAAAGATGAGAAGAATGATATAGGGTCACTTTTTCTTGCTTGCAAGTATGGTTTTATTTGAATTTAAAATGCCAAACACATTGTACATTGATGAATTATTATTGTATTAAGCTGATTTCGATAATCTAATAATTATAACATTTCATATCTTTATTCATTAGAATTCGCAGGACAGAGTAGATAGCGCCGGACTTTTTACAACTGACTTCAGACGTTCATTTTCTTCCCTGTAAACAAATCTTTAAATTTTATACAGGTACCAGGTTTAAAAATATCATCCCTCTTTATATGTCAAATAGATATAAAGCGTTGTATATATAAACCCAATAGGATATTATTTATGTTAAAATGACTTCAGATTCTGTAAAATTTGTCGACACACATGAAACCCTTTACTATTGTGAGTGAATTCTGATTTATACTGAGATAATAGTATTTATCTAATGACAGGATCCAATCATGTTTGATATTATTGTTGACGAATGGTTTGATGGATTAATGACCTCAGACGCTTTTACGTCAACATGAGCCGAAAGTTAAATCACTTTGAGCCATGTTCATACGAAATAAAAACGACAGAATTTGAATTCGATAAGAAAATTTAAGATGCTAACCTAATCGTTTGAACACTGCTTTCTATCTGTTTAAGAGTGTGAATGAATAACAATTTCAACATGTTTTAAAATGCTCAAAATGTATTATCATTAATAACAATAATGCTAGGAGAAAAGATAATTATCTAGGAAAGCACGTTATTTGGATCGACTGCCTTGATATGATCAAAATGCATACATTGTAACTCGGAGTAAAAAACACCACCAAACAAACAACCACTTAAAGCCAGATAATATGTCAGATTGTACTAAAAATGTCATTATCTTAAACTTTGCGGGATGACGTTGAAACAATTCAGATGTTATTTGCTGGATGTTTGTTTGTTGTTGTTTTTCGAGTAGTATCTAAATTTCTTTTTCGACAAGATATCATTTTACATACACCTTATCTGGAAATGTCATTATGATTTTTCAAATATACCAGTACTTCACTTTACAAATATCGGCCTACTTCAACGCCTAGAAAGATGGTTGGGTCGTTGAGACTTCAGATTTTATTTGTTTGAAGTTTGTTCGTTGTTGTTTTTCGACTAATATCTTGATATAATTTTATTTGACAAGATATCATATAACGAACACCTTATCTGGAAATGTCATTATGATTTTTGCAAATATACATGTACCACACTTTACAAATATCGGCCTACTTTAACGCCTAGAAAGATGGTTGGGTCGTTGAGACTTTTGAAAATAACCCTTTGATAGCTGAAATGAATATCAATTTATATAATGGAATTATCACCAACAACGGCAGAGATAAAATCTTGACATTTTCGTTTTGTTTCATAAAGATAAATTGTTCCATATATATTAGACAGATACAAAAATCACTTTCAAAATGTGTCATACGAATGGAAACGCAATCAGTATTTCGTTTTACAATGATTGCAACTGAACATTTCATCTGACCTTTCTCTAGAAGTTTCCCCATGATAATATTCTAGCGGAATAATATATGACATAACTGCCGGTGTTTCCTCCTCCCTCTTTCATATTGTAAAGATGTAGAAAGTTACAAATTACATTGATGTCAAAAGTCACGTTGAAATGACTGAGTAAGCGACAAGCAGTCTACCAATTTGATTTATTGCGTTTGCTGTAATACTTGTTTATTGCTGTTCACTGAATCAAATCATGATGTATAAAATTAATATTATATGATATAACAATGCAATTCTAAAACATTTCAATTATATATTTCAATTACATGCTTGCATTTTACGAAAAAAAATATAGAATATTTTAATGAACTATTAGAGATGAATGATAACTTCAACATATTGTGAAACGTGATTGTTTTGAAATGTGTAAAAATATGTTAAGAAAATTGTGCCTTTGCAATGTCTCATATTAAAGATAGAAAAAAGGTTTCAACTTTATAGCATTTTTTGTAATTAAAATCTTGTACTTGTGTTTGAATTCTATCGTAATTGACGTCCCGGTTTGATACACAGTCAGTTTGGCTTTAGAATTTAAGTGACATTAGGCCCATTCAGTTAAAAATGGTTGGTGTAAAGGTAACATAAAAAGTCATCTTACGTTTTGCCATATTTCTATTTAATAATATACATATTTAATTTTATACAGCAAAGAAATGTGCATAATGTCTTTTTAAAATGAAAAGTGTCTTTTTTTCTATTTCATAACTGTTCAATACTCGGATACTGATCATATAATCAGTTATTACATTTCTTTCAGACATTAATCGTGATTTACTATGGCTTTTTTTATTAACCAAAAATGAAATTGCAACAAGCGTAATATGTTTATTCAATTTACGAAATCTTCACAGATATGCAATCTGTATTATAACAAAAACAACTGAAAATGTATATATTACAAAAATTAAAAATAATAATATTTTTTAAATTTCCATCATAAAAATTGTACAAAATTAAACTTACAATCATATAATCAAGTAAACCAACTGGAGTGATTTCAAATCAATATTTAAACGACAATATATATTGTAGAAAGGACATTAAGTTGTTTTTCTTTTGCATTATAATTAAAAGCAACTTGAACGTTGCCATAAAAATATTGAAAATAAATATGGCATAATTATATCATTTTCTAATATTGAGCTTTAGACACGATAAGGTAATATGTTGGATACAGAACTATCTGAAAACCTGGTGAGACCCATCAAAAAGATGAAAAGATAAAAGATTTGCTAAAATTGAGTTTGTTCATGATAAGACAATGATAATTTCAAAAACTTTAACGCCCCCTAACACAAGTTTTAAAAGTATCCAATCATCAGTTCTAAACGTTGCATAATTATGCATGTGAATATTTCAGATATTCTTTAAGAAAAGCATATATTAGGTTCAATGACAGTTATGATATAATTCATGTTTTTACTCTTTGATAGTATTATTTACCATCTTTCAGAAGAAATAAAACTTATTTAACATTCATAATTCAAAATAATGTTAATAACAAGAAACATATTTATCATTAACCTAGTGACAATAATAAAATTAAAAATGACATATATTAATGAAGACAAAAATATCATGGCATTATTATATTAATCTACAATAAGGACTAAATAAAGTGCTAATGATAAAATTTATAATGGGCACTGTTCTAATATCAGTTCATCATGTTCAAACTG